ATATCAAGAGTGATTCTTCAGTGAGGCGAATCGTGACGGCGCTGATGCCGAGTCTTCTTTCGCGTTGTTTTTCTCTTTCTGCCTCATTTAAGAACTCTAGCCCAAGGGTCGCAAAATTGTCTTCGTTTTGGGACTGGTGGGCCGAGTCTCTGTTTGTATCCATTATTATCGCGAAATATTTAAGAATTTTAACAGAGCGACAACAAGGATCTGTGCGACGAAGTACAAAAAGGTAAACAAACGTCCCTTTCGGCTCGTCAAAATCACGCCACATTTTAATACTTTGGTGTTGGAGCGAGCGCATTTGATCCCGTTAACTGTGAATGAAAAGTTCAAAATTAACGGGAAAAATGGAGGAAATCTAAGCTAAATGAAGTCTTGTGTCACTCTAAAATGTTTTAATACTCAACCATCGGACGATTTTGCGAAACGTGCAACTTGCGGCCTTGCTTTTGCTGCTTCAGTTGGATGAAGACCCAAAAGGTCAAAATACACGAGGGATTACCAGGAGTGATCATGAGTCGAGTTTATCTCTTGAATTTTCGAGGAGTCTGAGTTTTCGGGGTGTGAGTTTTCGTGACACCCCAAGCTTACTTGCACTCAGGTAAAATGCTCATGGATTTTGCCGACATAGGTCAATGAAGTGCCGTATGCGAGGGCTAAAGACATCGATTTCTCATCGGCTAAGAAGCTCAAAGAAAAGCTCGACCAAAAAATCGAGGATCTACAACAGCCGCAAGCCTCGAACAATACAACAACTTCTAGTTCCTCCTGTTCTTCCCCTTGATTTGTGATGATCTTAGGTATAGCGCATTAGATCATATATATAATGAATTTTGCGCTATAGAAATAATAAAATTATTAAATTATTATACGAAAAAATCCTTAGTCTTTATGCTTTCCACTTTTGCTCGAACAGCCAACAATAATGCATAAAACCATCCCTTCTTTCTCACATGAACTCTTCGTTAGATACGGTTTGTTTACGCTCGAGGGACACCAAGATGGCGGATAGTAACCGTTGCTAAGGTATTGGTCACGTGGGTGAAACCCAAGGATACATTTTACAATATATATCATAGCATAAAATTTTATTGAAATGTTTACCTCTATATGGCATTGGGCATGAAAAACACGAACTACTGGAATAATCAGTGGATATAATACCCTACTACATGACTGACAAACACAGGTCATTAAATTGGAAAACTTTCTTTGACAAAAAAGACAGGAAAACATCTGTAATTTTTTCTTCTTTTTTTCCCTTTCACAAAAATGTCATATTCCTGGTGAACATGACACAATTTTAGGTTACTAAATGGCCAATTTGATAAAATGTTGAGCTTTTATATATTCCCGAAATCAAGCACCATTAAATGTTTCACACTCACTTGGCTTTTTTTCCACTCCAAATACCTCTGTTCTCATACACACCCCACCCTGGTGTGTTTGTGGCAGGAATCGCACATATCTTGTCAACACTCCGTAAACAACATGCTTTATGTCTGAGTTCCTATCATCATTTCCTCTCAAAAGCTAAAAAAGAAAAAAAAAACAGATGAAACCCTCACACTCATCGTTGATATAAATTATTGCTCCTGATACGGGATGTATTTTCCACCTTGACTTGTCCACCTTCCATGTAGTCTGCCCAATTTGTCCCATCTGTGGATAATTGTAGTCTGTAAGTCTTAACCCACTGATCTCCTTTAGAATTCCCTTGAGTAGACACAGCACATATGATATGAAGTGTCTGTAGATCAATCTGTAGATATGGGTTAGTGGCACTTGTTCCTGCACACCATGATGATCCTGATGTGTAGTTCAGTCTGCCATTCTTGGCAGGTGTGCTGGAAGGAGAAGCACTTATTCCACTGTCTGGAATTCTTCCATCTTCCATTCCAAGATTGAACTCAACACAACCTACAAGTTTAAAAAAATATCTAAAGCATTATTACAAATAAAAGGGAAAAATAATCAGTTATGAACACTACAAAGATTTAAGGGGGTAAAATGACAACTTCAAAAAGTGAATGGCCACAATTTGGCTGACTCTTCTCAACAAAAATCTTCCAATGTAGGATCAAAATGAACGTTGTAACTTTGTAACAATCAAGCAACCATTTGCTGGCATGCAGTCCTAGATTCATCCAGGCATCAGACCTACATGTACATGTAGTCTTCTGGTCAGCTAAGAAAGACCCTTGGCTTGGAATGAGGGCTCATGGCTGTTTTCCAAGGATTTGACTGCTATGAGAGCCATGCATATTTCATATGTGGCCTGACTGGAAACAGTGGTAACCCCTAGATATCCCTAACTTAGTTGTCTTCCATCCCTTAAATAAGTGTCATTCATTGGCCATGCATAAAAATGTATACTTTTGACTCCATCGCACACCACATACACAGCTTTCAAAAAAATTTCATTTTCATTTAGTTTTTCATCAATTGCATTGGATTTTCAAAGAGGGATATCATTAAAGCAAAGTGTTTTAACTTCTAACTTAACTTTTAAAATCATATCATGCCATCAGTTGGCCAAACACGTATAATTACTGTATTCTAATAATACTGCAGTAAAAGACCTCAATACTATGCAGCACAAAAGAGTCAACTTTGGTACTTTGAATGTAAAATTGGGCTAGTTCAAAGTTCTGTTACAAAGTTTTCTAATCCAAAGATCAGCTCATAACCTTTTCCACAGTTGTTACACCAGACTCAATTAAAAAATCAGTTAAACATCTTTTCAGAATTCTTACCATCTTTCATGGTTCTCACAACCACTACAGGAGAACTCTTTGGTCCATCACCAGCTGAAGTGAAGGCCAACACTTCAAATTCATATTCTGTGTAAATGTCAAGCCCACTGACATCTGTACTTAGTGCAGTTCCATTGTCTATAGGCAAGACAGTTGTTGATACCTTAGAGCCTCTCTTTTTGTAGAACAGTTTGAATCCTTTAATTATTCCATTTCTGGAGCCTACTGGTGGTAACTGCCAGGATGCTGTAATAATTGTAGAAGTAACTGCACTCACACTGAAGCTGCTTGGGGCTTGTGATGGAGCTGCAATTGAATAAGTTTAGTACTAACTGGTTCTGTTAGATGTTACTACCAAAAGAGAACCCTCTACAATTAATTTGTCTGGCTCCCTGGACCTGTGGCTTCATCTCACTGTTGGCAGTAGCACCCATCTGGTATCTGGGAGGGCCATGGGTTCAAGTCCTGTTGAAGCCTGAATTTTTTCAGGCTTCCTTAAACTGCAATTGCTTAAAATTGTAGCACATACACCAGGAAGGTTCTCTTGATTTCATCTGCAGGTGCAGTTATTTATAAATTTATTTAATTAAAAAATGTGACAATTTTTTTTTCTCTTTCCCCTTCACCTATCACATACCAGCTTCCTTTGTTCTCTCTACCTCGACAGGGCTCTTTGGTCCATTACCATCAGAGGTATATGCCAGGACTTGAAATTCATATTCTGTGTACTCATCAAGCCCAGTAACATTTCTACTGAATGTTGATCCATCTGTTATATTTAACTTTGTTGCTGGCACGCCAGAACTTTTCTTTTTGAAGAACAGTATAAACCCAGTTATGGTCCTTCCATGTCTGGCAAAGACTGGTGGTGACTGCCAGGAAGCCATAATGCTGCTAGAAGAGCTCACAGTCAACTTGAAATCAGTAGGAGGTTGTGATGGAACTAAAATAAATATAGCCACATGTGTGCTTTACCCTTAAGTTGATTTTTAAAGTGAAGTTAAGAAAGGAACAAAGACTGAACCATCAATGTGAACTTAGATAACATAAAATATTTATCAGAGCAGTGACTCAGGGATCATCAGAGTAGGGATCTTCTACACAATTTAAGATTGGCATTTTGTTAGTGGAATCCAACATAATCATTGTAAATTATATTGCACCAACACATTGTATCATATACCTGGTATAAATCATTATCTCAATTTCGTTCAATTTAACAAAAAGTGAACTGGCCGTATCTCAGAAGAGGAAATATGATATTTCATGTACATACAGCTGTATGTGGTCATAGTCAAATTCTCTAAAGAGCAGCTCTAAAATAATACTACAAAAGACACTCATCCAACCAAGGCACACTCATAACTGGAGAGTATTTAACTCGGATTTAGCTCAGTTCATTTACCCATGCATCCTTTCCTTGTTCAGATGATTGGTCATTGTGACCTCATTTTTACCTCAAAAGGAGACAAAATAAGAGCAAAATAGTCCCCTTTAATTAGAACTATTCCTGANNNNACGTTAACTTTGAACGGCTCTGCGTGTTTTACAAAAATTCTGTCAGAGGGAAAAAATATTAACGATGAATTCTAAAAAAGGCCTCTTTTCCTTAAACTTTCTGACAGAATTTTTTTAAACTTAACAGTCAACTAGACCAAGACAGTCAAAGGACGCATGCAAGATCTAAAATAAATTCACCGTCCAGTTTTTAAGAAAATTCAAGTCAAGTCTAATTTTGGATCCAGCATTGCAAGCCAGCAATGTTGCCATGGCAACGAATTTTTCAATTTATTTACAACAAACTGATTCTTCAATAATATCTTTATTTCAGGGGAAAATGTGATCGCGATCCCAAGTGCAAACTGTAATTGTTCATGATGTTTGCATAAATGTTAGAAGGAAATCACCAACAAACATAAAATAATTATTTTCCTTTTACACAGACACTTAATAGCTCTGTTGTTAAACCTTTTAATCTTTTCAATGAGCACACAAAGATTACTGCTAGTATTTCTGTGTGGGTAATATGAGTTACTAGTAGTTGATATTTCCCCTGTATTCTTTAGAACATTTCCTGATTTTTTGAGATAAAACACATATTAGTGTGAAGCTATATGAGGTAATGGTTATAGTAATAAAGTCCACATGATGAAAACTTAATACATATGCAGAATACTGAAAGCAAAGTGTAGAATTACATGTATGCCATAAAGTAAGCACACAGGTTTGACTGTTTTTGCTGGAATGAACAATGGGTGTTCCAGAAACAGTTTGTAATTCACTTAAAAGATAACTGCAGAGACTGAGTCTTGACCAAGTAGACACATCTGCTGTGTCCCTCCTCTTAACTGAAAAAAATTGAATCAGTGTGTTGTAGGAGCTACTTTTGGCTTTTTTAATATGCATGTACATAAACATGACAATCATTCATGTAACCATACAGTCCAAAACCACTTGAACAGCAACCTTGAGGAAAACTGAATTACCAATTTGTTGTAATGATTAAAAATTTGTTGTAATAGAGTAAAACAAGGATTAGAAATAGGTCAAGAAAATGGCTAACTCTGCTATTTAATGGAAAGGTGGCCATATAAAAAATATTGTGGAGTCTTTTTTCCCTGTTAGTTTACAGTGTATTTTACAATATTTCTAGGCCCTTTGTCTCTTGGCAATGTTATTGAAGAACAGCACAGTGGCTTGGCAAGCACGTTTACTGTTATATGCAGCCAATGCAATG